TTCTGATAATTAAATTAATCATTTAAGGTATGGAATGTAGTGTTCCATAAAGTTTAGCTTTTATTATTACTACCTATACGGGTGATACTGTGATTGAAATCTGAAAGTTTTCCTTTTTCTGACTGCCATATATCGTTGTTGACCTCATTGCGAATTACTTTTCTGTTAAAGGCAGAACCAGTGCAAAAATAACTGTTTGGGGAGTGTGTGTGTGTGTGTGTGTGTGTGTGTGTGTGTTTATATATTTTTACTCATATGTATTGAATAATATGAAGTCCAACAGATAGTTGAAACTGTGACACTAGATTCCTTATAATAGTTGTAAGTTTCACAATTGGTAAGTAGTAAGATATGAATTATTCTTGATAACCTAATATCTTCCAGACATTGTTTCTTAATGATGTTAATATCTAGGTGTACATTAATCCCTTCTTATCCGTTGCCTGAAACCTCATTTCAGTCAATGCCTGAAACCTCAGATAGTACTGAACCCTATATATACTATGTTTTTCCTATATATATATATAATTTATAAATTAGTCACAGTAAGAAATTAACAACACTAATAATACAATAGAACAATTATAACAATATACTGTACTGAAAGTTAAGTGAATGTGATCTCTCTCAAAAAATATCTCTGGTACTGTACTCACCTATTTTCAAATGGTGCCTGGGTAGCTGAAACTGTGAAAAGGGAAACCTCGATAATGGGTACTACTATACTGAAAATGTGAAAAATACATACAATTTCATTAAAGAGAGCTGCTGTTTCTGGAGTGGGACATAAAGGTAGAAATTCTTGTAAAACATAAATGTCCTGAATTTCAATATCACATGGCAGGCTGGTGAGGAGGAAGCTAGGAACCTCAGGGGTTCTAGTAACTAGTTCTCCAGTTACTAGTTGTTCTAGTTCTCCTTGGAAGAGAGAGAAGATATGATTAGATAATTCTCTCTTCATCTGTAAAAGGAATATGTCAGAAGAAATCTGTAGGCATTCGCCACTCCAGACTTTTATGATTTTGGAATTGTAACTTGTGTAATTATTTTAATGACGAAGATATAATTTTCTAAAAGAATTGTTAAATACATCAAAATTAGCCTATAGATAAAAATTGAAGCTCTCATATTCTACAACATGGGTACTTTCGAGACATAACTGGAACAGTTTTCTACTGTCATTCTTGCTGGGACCCACAATCTATAAATATCAACATCAGTTTCCAGGAAAGGCGGAGCTAACAAGTCTACATTAGGCTACCGGGAGAAACTTCCAAGTTACCCTCTTGTCACCCGTGCCCCAAGGGTAAACACTGTAAACTATTATAGCATTCAATTTAGATAACCACTCAGGTAAGGACAGCTCTGATGATGAAAAAGATAATGACTTTTCATTGTCTGCAATCTTTCATCTGGGAGAATTTAAAAGGAGTTTTTATGGGGGGGAATCTATTTGGATATTTAATCAGTTTTATGATTAGAAATTGTACATAACAGTTTTAAAAAATTGGGATATAATTCACATACCATAAAATTAACCCTTTTAGGTGTACCAGTCAATGGTGTATGTAATATTTTTAAATGAGATCATTTAAAATGGGTCTGGCACAAAGTAGCCACTTCATAAATATTAGTCCTCTTTCCTACATCGATACATTTTGAACCTGAAACAAATGAAATGAAGACACAGCAGATGTTTGGGTGGTTCTGTTCTGCTCTGTCCCCCAGTGGTGTGCTGGAGCCCTCTCAAGAGAGCCAATTGTCCGCATCTCTTCCTGACTCTGTGTTGACCGAGGTCACATTGGTAGCTTGAAATGGGCCATGATGGAAATATTTACATCATGGAAACTGACAAATGGTACAAAACCAGGGCTTTGTTATTGTTTGAGAGCTGGTTGTTAAGCATTTACCAGCACACCACTGCTAATGTGTATCAATTTCTTCAAGAGTAAGTTTCCTCATTATTCAGGGCCACATTAGGTGCCTCATCCCTTTGTCATGACCAACAAATTTAACTGAGTCCTCATCAGTTGGAAACAGGAAATTTCAACTGGATAAATACTATATTCATAACTAATAAGTTAATTTCCATGTGACTTTTTGGGGGGTTGGTTTCAAAAAATGTGTTTTAAAATTGTGATAAAAAACATATAACATGAAATTTACTATCTTAACCATTTTTAACTATACATTTCAGTAGTATGACTTATTTTTGTCTTCTGTAGCATGATTTGTGTGATAGAGCATGGGCTCGATTTGTGAAATGTCTAAATGATTTTTAAATTTCATTTGTTAAAGGGATGGTTAAATTTCATTTTGGTCAGGCTCATACTCTCACAATCAGTTTTTAGCTGACTGATTTCTGGCTAGTCTTTCAGAGTCCCTTGCAATCAATTTCACATCAGGCTAGCTCTAGGGAATTTGGTATCCAGGCATCCTGAACCTCCTTCCTAGAACATCATAGTTGTGTGATCCAGGTTTCATGACTCCAGCCATCTCGCTGACTCTTGAGTCCAAATTCCACATTCCTAGGAAAGGACTGGGGTTCACCATGCTTAGGTCTGGAAGACGCAGCTGCATTGTTCTCATGCTGGCTCCCATGGCGATGGTTTGGAAGGACGTGCTAGGGCAGAGGGGCAGAGTTCCGGACCTGCTCCTCGGTGTAGAGAGATGCTGGCCAGTTAAAGCATCCAGTGTCTAGTACAATGTAATTTTCATATCAGATGATAAATGGTGACTTTAAAGAAATATTTAATCAACATAGTTGGCATTTAGTTAAGAATCTCTAGAATATTATAGTATAGATAAAATTAACAAAACTTCTGTAATCTTCAAAAGGGAGTTACTATAATTCACTTGGGACTGTATGTGGTCAAAATTGTAGTAGTATAATTACAAAACTAATTTCTTGGATTTAAACAGGAACTTTTTTTTTTATTATAGTTTCTGGTGTGAGTTAAACATTAACACATGTACTCTCAGATTGTTCAAATGAGAGAAAGGTTTCTTTAATCTTTAGCCCACTTAAAGTGGACAAACCGGGACAGAAACAGTTGAAGTGTATAATTTCCAGGCACACAACAGTTTACAATGAGTTCTGGAGTCTTCTTCAGGCCGGTGTAGGCATTTCCCCAAGAGGCAATTAGAGTATAGGAGACAGAGCATAGAATTTGGCATCGAGGTTTGGAATGTGAGTCACTTCTACCATTTTTACAATATTCCCTAGCTATGTGATCTTGGGCTTGTCATTTAAAAGTATCTGAGCCTCAATTTCCTGTTCATTAAACAGAATAAGATCTATTTGACAGAGTTGTTTTGAAAATTAAGTTAAATTACATCTGTGAATATCCTTGTAAACTATAATGTTTGTATAAATGTAAAGTATTAATACTTTTATTCAGTTTTCAGTTATAGGTTATCTTCATGTTTAATGTTTAATCAATACACATATCCAATGTTTATGTATTACATCCTCAATCATTTCTTAACACCCACTATGTAGCAGATACTGTGCCAGGCTATTGGGATACCAAGATCTTATCTAAAATGATCCCTGCTCTCAAGTAGCTAAACACAAAGCTATTTGTTATTTAATCTGAGCAGTTATCAGTGTGTATGTTATAAAGCCATGCCTAAAAAGCGCTAAGGAAAAAATCTAGAAATACCAGGCTTTTGCAGATGATCTACATATTGAATTGGCCATAGGTTATACAATCCTTACATTGAAGAGTACATCAAATAGTGCTTGGGAGATGGCCTCTCCTGAAAGGATATTTCTGGAGGAGGGTTCTTTGCAACATTGAGTTTGGGGGACTGTATTTTAATTCCTGACTGTGTATGTTCTATATAATGGACTCAGATATTAGGTTACCAGAAAACATGCTTATTTCTTTTTATGACTACAAATATAATGCATTGAACTGGACACCGTGATACACTAGCAGAACTTTTTGCAGGATTTAAAGACTTATTCCTCTAGCTGATTAGAGTGCCACAAAGTACCACAAAGTAGGTATCTTAAAATTACAGAAATTTGTTCTTAATTCTAGAGACTATAAATCCAAAGTTAAGGTGCTGGGAGGGCCATGCTCCCTCCAAAACCTCCAGGCAAGGATGCTTGCTTGCCTTTCCCAGCTTATGGTAGCCCAGGCATTCTCTGGCTTTCCTTGGCTTGTGGCAGCATCACTCCAATCTCTACTTCTATCTTCACATGGCATCAAGGTTTGGAATGTGAGTCACTCCTCTTCCTTTCTTCTGCGTCTCTGTTTCCATATCTGTGTCCAAATTTCCTTCCTCTTACAAAGACACCAGTCATACTGGATTAGGGCCCACCCCGATTCAGTATAGCTTTATCTTAACTTGAATACATTTGCAAAGATACAGTTTCCAAATTAGGTTGCATTCACAGGAACCAGGGCTTAGGACTTGAATATATCTTTTGGTGGGGGTTGGGGGGACAGAATTCAGTCTATAACATCCTGATTATTGCTTATATTATCCGTATAAACAAGGTACTTTCTTTTGACAATTTCAATAATGATTCAGGAAAATTCTGTTTTGTATAATCATTTTCTTCTTCTCAAATATATAGTCAAGGGAGAAGGCAGTGGGCTTACAAAACAGATCAGAAAGCAACAGTTTTAACAGAATTTGCTAAGCAGAGTACAAACAGAATATGTTTTCTGTTCTAAGGACTGAGGACATGTCTTGAGCACTCTGCCATTTCGCATCTCACTCAAGAGTGTGAATCCACTGATTTTTTTTCTTTTTTGAAAGAATATTTGGGAGGAATGTAAATGCCCTTATTGTGACTAAATGTTACGAGGCACATTCTGGAGCTATTTCATAGTGTGGTACTTTGAACTGTAGCATACAAAAACAAGTGTCAGTGCCAGTAGCCTACCCCCCCAGAGTGACATTTGATATTGAGAAGGATGAGTTAAAGCTGCCATCAAACTAGCCACAGCAGAAGCTTCCCTTGGAAGGGTCATAGGAGCCCCTCACATCTTGTCCCTCCTCTCAGACAATGTTCCAACTGTGCCTTCCAGAACTTGGTTGGCAGCGAAGGCTGTGGTATCTGGCTTACAGTCCTGCAGTGTAATCTTCCCTCTTTTCTCTTTGCTTTTTTCCTCTACGAAAAGTGGCAATGAAGACATCTATTGAGAGGAAAAATGACATAAACTATTGCAAATGAAAATAAATCAGTTAATGAACAAGACAAGCTGATCTGGAAACCAAAGGATGATATTGTGTGTTGGATGAAGTCTGATGAAAAATAAAGCTTTGTGTTTCTTTGTGTTTTATGTTGTTTTGTATTTTGTTATCTTTTAGGGCATACAGTAGCACTCCCTGTATTTGATGAAAATATAATTTATTTTATAAAAACTGAATAAGAGGCATAAAGGAAGAACTTCTAAATCTGAAATCGTCTAAGATACAATGAAACGTACTGAGCCTTGAAATCTGAAGCTAAATAGAGATTGTTAGTATATGATTTTGTCGTACTTTATTGTGGTCATTAATAGTGACAGGAAAGGCAAGAACTCAATCTTTTTCTATTTTTAAATTTTTTTCTTTAGAGACAGGGTTTCACTTTGTTGCTCAGGCTGGAGTGCACTGATGTGATCACAGCTCACTGCAACATAGAACCCCAGGGTTCAAGTGATCCTCTTGCCTCAGCCTCCTGAGTAGCTGGATCTACAGGTGCGTGCCACTCTGGCTAATATTTTTTATTTTTTTATAGAGATGAGGTTTTGCTTTTTTGCCCAGGCTGGTCTTGAACTCCTGGCCTCAAACTCCTGGCCTCAAGTGATCCTCCTGCCTCAGCCTCCTAAGTAGCTGGGATTACAGGTGCGAACCGCTGCGCCAAGCCCAAGAACTTAAATGAGCCCAATGGTTGTTTATAAAACTTAGAATATCTTCTGATATGTCAAGAGAATACGTGTATTCTAGACAAGGCGTTGATGATATGAATTGACAACTTTGAACTATAATTTGGTGTGATATTTTTAATCAAGAAAAGACATTTTAACAGAAACAACTGGCTCTTGGTACATAAATACTTAGTTTGAGCCCCATTTTAATACCTCAAGTGTAGAATAAAAAACATATGGATTACATCTTCCTTCAAATATCCAAGTCCCCCCAAATAAGAAAAATATGTACTTGACAAAATGATTGAGTATATTTTAAATTACTAACACAAATTCTGGTTGATTTAGCTGTTCTAAATGGATTTCTTCTATTTCTGGAGTCTTTTTTTTTCTGTCATTTATATACTATAAAAAATTATCTATTTTAGAAGCACTGTGTTATTTTATGATGCATAAAGAAACTCAAATGTCTCCTTTCATTCCATTCTTTTTGATGCTATGTGTGATAAAACTTGAATGGAAATAGCTTAAGGGTTAAGGGTCTGGGTGTTATAACTAATATTTTATTCCTATTAATAAATTTATCACTTCCTCATCTTTATCAAAGACCACTTGTCTTAGATAAATATATCCCTTGCCTGATAATGCTACTCCAGCTTCAGTTACTTTTCTCAAGTTACATCTGCTTGGAACCAGTTTTTTTCTTTCATGTCTTCCTTCGGTCTTCCAGTTTGAAAAGCATTCTCTATTCTGTTATTCAAACACTTCCTAAAATATTAATATAACTTCCTCCAATAAAGCTTTTAAAAGCTATTTAGATGACACTTTTATAAGCAATATCAAGATAGCATTCAACTATACATGAATTTAAGACTTGCTAGGGGGAGAACTCATGGTTCATTCCTTAATTCAAAACTTTTCCTCCATAGTCTAGGGAGCTATGAAGCAATTTAAGAAATAGTATCACCTTTGTAGTTCAAACATCATATGAATGAACTCCCAGCTACAGACAATGACAGGTTTGGGTTTAGAGCAGCATTTTGCCCAAAGGCAACAAACATTTAAATTCTTAAGTTGTGGTTATTAGCAAGTTTTGGGGGCATCAGAGATTTAGATCTGGAATCCGCGAGGACCCTGGCACATCAGCATCTTTTGAATCCTTTGTTATGGAGGAATAGAAAGTCCTTTTCTGGTAGTGGCTGAGGAAGCGTAGTCATTGGAGAGCCTGTTATTAAGGCCGAAGGCATAGCCAGCCTAGGTCAATGTGCCATAGTTGGGCCACATTGTCTCTTTAGAAACCACAGATTCAAAAACAGGAAAAACAGACAAATATACTTCATTTAATATAAACATTAGGCTTAACAGGAGGCAAATATTGCTATGTTCAAGTGCTAGGGATTTCTACAAAGGTTTAGAAATCATTAATCAGAAACTCAACCTGTTAGATATACATATTTCCACAAGAAATAAACCCGACCTACCAGGCAATGTTCTACTTTTCTGAAATAAGAATTTATCTGAATTCTTTTCTGCATAAAAACATACATAAAGATCATCTCACGTTAATTGGCTTAATTTAATTTCTGATGAAATGCTATTCTAAATCTTACTTTGCAGAATCGTAAACAATATTTTTATGATTAACATAGAAATATATTAGATTTTCCCTTAAAGTAATCCAAAAAAGATTTCATTTTGCTGGTGAGAATAAAAGTGGAAGTAATACAAAAAGTGATGGCATTCATTAAAATGTCAGGTTTATTACTAATTATCCTTCACAGTATTTGTAGTTGATTAATTTTCTAATCTTTAAACTAAATAATAAGCTTTCAAGTTCTAGGTTTAGTTACTTGTTCTATCAACTACCTGCTGATTGCTAAGCTTAAGCACCCAGTCCAACCTTGCAAGAAATTTTCCAAAATCCAATTATTACTTTTTAAAAAAGAATTAGGTTAATAAGTATTTCAATGTGACTAATGTATTTCTGAACTACTTATTATCATTGTCCACATGATATTTATACTATAATTAGATAAGTTAATAAATACTTTCTATATTTAAATTTAGTAAGAATAATCAAATACAACTTCTAACAAAAAGTCATTGTTATTTATCTTATACGAAAATAATCCTTAGTGATCAGATAAATATTTTCCTTTTTATTCATCCTCACATCACTTGTAAACACAAAACCTTAAGAAGTTCAAGTTTTGCCTGAAAGATTGTTTTCAACTTGGACACCAACTAGGAATTTGCTTCAGGGCAATGAGAAAATGAAGTTCATTGCTCAGAGAGCACAGATGAGAGAGGAAGTGGCCCCATGCTGGATGTCTCAAATGGTGAGACAACTTTGGAGCAATACCCAGTATCTTAACATTTGGGCTGGTGCCTTAGATTAGGAGGAAGTCCAGGCTTTCTCCTGAAACCCGCTCCCAAGGCTTTTGGTGTATATGTGTTATGAAGAAAGGAGGGGGAGAAAGGTGGTCCCTGCTGCCCAGCACTGGAGCTGACCTCCTCTGTCTACCATTCTCCTCAGACTCCAACTGCTGGTCCCTCAGATTCACCGACCTCCAGGGCTCCTCTCCCTTTGTGGGGAATCGAAAAAAACTCTATTCACTTCTCATGACTAGCTTGCTTCCAAGGAGAGATCCCACAGTGGGACTGGCCCCTTAATTGCACAGTCTTCTCCTTGTCAGGGTGAACAAGAATTCTGGACAGGGAAGGCTGGATTATTATGGGGCGGTGGGGGTTCCAGTATGCCTGGACCCACTGCTTTCTCTGAGGTACAGGTCTAGTCTGAGAGACTTCATCTTCTCCATCTTTATGGTCAGATGGTTTTGTTTCATTTTGGCTTTTGTTTGTTGTTTCCTTGAGGCTCTCTAATGTCTCTTTGCATCCTATTGACCAAACAGGCCAAAGATGTCAGACCTGTTAAGATTGAGATTATTTACTATGAATTGTAAGTAATAACAGATTTAGAGAAGAGGCATATTTGTATACAAGGGGCCACATTCACAACATGGACATGAATCCCAATTCATCCCCCACTGTGACTAAAGCTGCACCAGACACATGGAGGATTGTGATCTTGGGTGACACAAGGAGGGGACTCCAGGCTAGACTGGAACCAAGACTCTGGCTGTGTATTGTCCTGAATTGCTTAGTGAATGGAAAATTCTAAAATATCCCACAAACCCATCGTAATTTGTATTTTCTTATCTACCTGTAAATAATTGTTTAAATAAAATATGTAGTAAAATTTGGGTATCATGCACTCCATAATATGCTTGACCATTCTCAATCCTTTAGTGTCATCACAAAGTGGAGTTAAAGAATCCATCTAAATAATTTCTTTCAGCAAAAATCTAGTGTTCAGGCAAAATCATGTCAATGTTGCTTTAACAAGACTTCCTTTGCCTGGCGTGCTTCACCTGACACCAGAATAGATTGAAAATATATGTATTCTTGAAAATAAAACAGATGTATTAACATTTACATAGGACATAATGTATAAAAATGAACATTAAGAAGTCAATAAGGTACACTAAGATACTTCAAGAGAACTTGCTAAACTTTGCAGTTGGCGTCATTGCAAGAAAAAAAATCTTTGAGGCCGTTATCAGACAGAAGCTGTTTTTAACCTGCAAGACAGTTTTTATGATTCATAAAGTACAGTGATTGCAGACTCTGTACTAGAGGTATAATACCTCATGAGAGTTGTCTTCAGATTCCTATTTTATTTTCCTAGAATTCTGTAATCATTATATATCTTCCCTTGTACCTTAATTTTTAACATTGTTATGAGTGGTCACAAACATAGGATCAAATAAAAAATATTTTCCTCCTCTCTGGGTAACTTATAGTTGAGATTATTCTAACAAAAACATGCAAAAAGGAAAGGCAGAGGTAAGGATTTATAAAGGTATATAGCTAATTAAAATCAATAACAATACAGGCCTGATGAAATAGAGTCAAATCAGATGTCTGAAGATATTAATATAACTTCATGTATGTGTTAGAATACATACATGCTCTTGTACCACTCTACTCTCTGCCATGCCCAGCAACTCTGGTCTCCATTTCCCCAATCCATGATGATAATATCTGCATTACAAGGGACATAATGTAATTCTGTCATTGTCTCCTTGCTGTATTTTGTGATACTAGTAAAAGACCATTGTGTTTGTGGATTTCAAGTAGATCATCAGATAGATAGTAACTAAGAATCAGTGCAGGAGGGTTTGGGTGCTGGATATTAGCTGTATCATCTTGAATGAGATATT